CAGTGATTCTGGGTGGGAGCCGGGAGGTGGGCTGTACTGCGCAAGTCTGAGGGAACGTCCAGAGTTCAGCCTGCCTCCCAGCACTCAGGATGGAGGCACTCCTTCCTCTCTCCAGCCACCCCTGAGCCCTCCCCCAGCGGTTCCAAGTGACTCCTCTGCTCACGGCCCTGCAGGCTGCCTGCTGGCTTCAGGTCCACTCCCCTCTGCCCGGGTCACTGCGAGATGCTGTGGGGGCCCCACCTTGGTGACCGGAAGTGCTCTTCACCCACCTCGCTGTCACCAAACGGGACCCCAGTGGTGAGGGAGCGCGGCTGGGCACTGTGGAGTGGGAATCACCGCACACACATTAGTGTGAGGGGCTGAGATCTGTGATGAAGGGCCACGTTCTGTGAGTGAGGGAGGGAGGTACCCCGGAGCCTAGCTCTCCGAGGTGAGGCATGGGGAGATGCTGGGAGACCACATCCCTGAGGAGCGGTCCTGAGTAGAAAGGTAGGAGCAGCTTCAGCTAACAGTCGATTCTGGCACCAGCCTGCATTATATTCACAGGACGAAGGACAGGGACTGGGGGTGGGGAGGGAGCTTCTGATCAGCCTGGTCACAGCTGGTCACGCTCACAGACCGCGGTGCTGGAGCTCCCTGGGGTGGGCCTGGAATATTCCCCTCACTCCACTGGTCCTCCAGCTCAGGGGTATTAAACACACCACTGAAAAACTACCCAGCTCGTTTGCACCACAGACAAAGAGAAACCTTGTTTGTCTTTTGGCTAATCCGAGGCCAGCAGCTGAGCTCTGGGCACGTGCAGGCATGTATGGTGTGTGTGCTAGCGTGTGCTCATGTATGTGGTGGCCGAGGCCAGGCCGTGCACTCTGAGAACACACGTGGTTAGCCACTGGAGCCCGCCCCAGTGGTGGGGGAGCTGGGGAAGCTGAGTTCAGGCCAAGAAGCAAAGCTTGGGAGATCCCCGTGGCCAGAGACCATGGACCACTAAGGAGGCCAAGGGGCTGCTGGGAAGACTGATTCTGGCTCTTTTAGCCTCCCCAGCCCTCTAGGGTCCCCTGAAAGTCCAGAATCGTAGAATATAGGGAAAAGAGACAGGTCTACAGTCCTTTCCAAGGCTCTTAAATCCCCGAGCTCAGCGAGGACAAGTGTCAGGTGTGGGAGGGCCTCGCCACCTTGTGGGGACATGCGGTACTCCTCCCTCAGTCCTGGCCAGCCAGCCCCGTGGGGAGGGAGACAACCCCATGGGGCATCGACTTGGCTCGTGCTGTGTGGACAGCCCTTATATTCCCACAGGAGCAAGGAGCCGGGTGGGGAATCTATCCCACTCACACCAGATGGGGCAGTCCAGGCTGGCCCAGGCCCACCTGCACAGGCAAATCTGATGCCCTCGGATGCGGCCTGACCACATTTGAAGCACCTTAGAGAAAGGTTTGCAGGGAAGAATCTTGGAGCTCATCTGTTTCAAGGAAACTGAAGCCCAGAGAGGGAGGGGGCCCTGCTGGAGGCCCCACAGCTTCTCCATCACAGAAAGAAGCGGGATTGAGGGTCAAAAGGCTCACGCATTTTCCCGAGGGTCCAGGGTCTAAGACAAGCTGTCCAGACTGAAACCCAGCCCAGTTGGGACCCAGAACAGAGGCAGTGCAGTGAGAGCTCTTGCCACAGGTCAGCAGGGAGAGGAGATCTGGGCCATATCGAGATGAGGCTGCAAATGGGGCTCCAGGATGATCTGATTTTGATATTAAAAAGCAAATAATGGGAGGGGGGTATGCTTTGCATGCATGAGGTCCTGGGTTCAATCCCCAGTACCTCTATAACAAACATTTTTTAAAAATAAAACCTAATTACTCCACCTTCCCCAAATAAATGAATAAAAAATAAAACTCATCTCAAAAAAAGAATACCCATGAAAAAAATTTAAAGGCAAATATTATTAGCATCTTTGGGCAGTAACTGCAATGCTAGCACTGTGCTGAATATTCACAAACATTAGGTCATTTAGTACTCACAATGCCCCTTTGAGGGAGACACTTATAATCCACTTTTTTCAGATAAGGAAGCTGAAGCAGAAGAGGGAAGCAACTTGCCCTGGGTTACCAGCAAGTGGCAGAGCAGGGATCTGAGCACAGAGATTTCCAATCTATTGAGGGCAAAGGCTCTGCTGTGCAAAGAAAAGAGCTTGAGTTGCTCACTCCCTCCAACTCTGACCCCGGCCTGCCTCCGGCGAGGGGAGCTGCCGCTGGCTCTCCAGGAGGCGCGGCCTCGGTGCGCCCTCTGCTGTGCACGAGGAGTAAAGAGCGTTCCGTCGGAGTCCTGAAGATGGCTGGCAGGGACCGTGGCCTCTCCTCCCCAATAAGGAACAGGGTCACTGGGCTGGCTGGCTGGCTGTAGACCACCACTGCAGAGCACACATCTGCTGAGCTGCAGAAGGATGGGCTTGGTCACACCCCTGGTTTCTCAGGACTTCTTCCTCTTAGAAGCTCCTCCACCTCCCTCAAAGGCACGTTCATCATAGGTCCACCCCACTGAGGACCAGGACCATGGGCTGGATGGGCACTACCAGGAGTGACCATGACCGGCCCCCTTAAAAGCTGGGATCCATGCTCATTCAGAGCACTGCCATGTGGGTAAAAGGTAGAACTGGGAATCCAAGAGATCTGGAAAAAGGACCCCTCCCCGAGGGCCGGGATGGCTGGCTGTGAGTCAGGCAGTGAGGCTGGATACTCTGAATAGGTCAAGGGTGAGGAAAGGGGAATAAAGACTAGGGTAAGGAAAGGCAAATGCATGAAGGAGGAACAGGTGTCCAGGCATGTCCATCCAGGCCAAGCTTGTTTGAACCAGGACTTGCTACTGGGTGGGGCTCAGTGAGAAGAGAAACAGCCCCAGGATAACTCCTCAGGAAATAAGGGGGCACCCCAAGTCTGGGTTAATTGCCTCAGGAACATTTCTGGGCCCAGAAGAGGGAGTTAGTCATAGGACCTATATCAAAGGAGAAAGCAGGTGAAAAAAAGGCCAATCCACATTTTATTTGTATCTGCCTTGAACGTGTACATAAATTCTCAGGACCCACTCCCCCATGTTGGGGATGGATGGTAGGTTCTGGAGGGAAGAAGCATCCGATTAAGGACATGAAATTTAACAGAAGGTCCTGCCACCCTGAGCAAGGGGCATCCCTGTGGGCCGGGACTTGCACTGTCCTCCCTCCCCTCCCAGCCATCTGTGAATCCTCATGGGCCCTGCTATTTGACACTAGCTCAGCCCCCTCCTCCCCATGGACTGGCCACGGGCAGGAGACCCAACCTCCTCTCTTCAGTGTTTTAGCTTCTTCTGCTTTTCTCATCCCTAAAATTCTACTCCTGGGGTGGGAAAACACCAAAACCCACAACATGTCTCTCCCAAGCCTACTCCTAACTCAGAGTGGTCAAACCAGACTCCTGAGATTAGAAACGTCAGCCGCCAGGGCCCTCACAGCTGGCTGGATCTGAGGGCAGGGTTGGCAGTGGCACTGTGGCAGGATGTGGGGAGGCGCAGGGCTCCTGGGTGTGCCTGAAAGAGGGGAAGAAAGCCCCCCAGGAAGCCAGGGACATGGGCTTATTCGTCGTAGAAGTCAACATGGGCTCCAGACTTGAACTCGTCCTTCTGCAGCAAGCTCAGCAGTTTCTGGGCTGACACCCTGCAATCCACAAGCTTCCCCTTTGTCTTCAGCTCCTGCAGCTTTTCTCGCAGGTCTGGGTCCACGGAGGTCTCCCGGGCTAACTGCTGCATGTCTGTGTCCAGGGGACCTAGAGGATGAGGAGCAGAAGATAAGAGAACACGGCTGAGGCAGGGGCCCCTGCTGTGTGTGGGGGGTGGGGTGGAGTCACATCTGGCCAGAAGGTGACACCTCATCTTGGCTGACACTTGTCATCAGGATCATCAAAAGCTCCACACTGTCACTGCTGAGCTCCAGACTCAAATTCCAATGTCCTCTGAACGTGGTCCCTCGAGACCACCGAGTCTGCACTTCCTGCCCAACCAGCACCTCCCCTGACTTTCCCACGAAGTACCCCTCTCCCAGACTCAAACCTTCTTCTCCCCACCCTCTCTGCCCCCACAGCCAGCCAGTCAGTCACCAGGTAGGACCCTTGGCTTCTGCCAACCTGCCAACCAGGCCCCTTATGCAACACTGGTTCCCTCCCTGCTTCAACTCCTCCTGTAGACCTCTGCTAAAGTCATCTTGCTGAAACATCACTGGGGTTGGCAAAATGGCAATTTCTAGCTGTGCCCCCATAAAAACCTCAATTTGGACGACTAACTGCATATAGAATTATTTTCAAAAGAGCCAAGATTCCAGGTGAGGAATTACGCCACCTGAGTCGAAGCACAGAAATAAGAAGAGACCCACCGAGGAAGGTAGGATAGACAGAGTCACATACCCTACCACTCCTTGCCCAAGCCCCGGCAGCCCAGTGTGGGGACGGACATGCTCCCTGTGGGAGGAGAGTGAAGTGAGCACCCATCTTCCCCGGGGGCTCCAGAGTCAGCTTGTCCCAGCACCAGGCCAACTCCTGTGGCCCCAGATGGCTCCCTGTGGGCTGTTATGAACCAGGCCCCCAGCTCACCCCAGCGCCCGCCAGCTCCAGTGGTCCCACAGCCCTAGGCAGCTCCCAGGGGGCACCCGTGAAGCCAGCCCCTGATCTACTCCAGCACTAGCTGGCTCCTGGGCCTGCGCAGCTCCCAGGAACCCAGGCTTCTGGCACATCCCAGCACTAGCCAACTCCTGTGCCCCTAGATGGCTCCTGTGGGCCCAGGCTTCTGATCAGGGTCTGTGAATGTACCCACAAACCAGGCTCCCCACTAGGCCTAGGGCCAGGCTGACTACCACAGACACAAGATTTGGACCCACCCCAGCAATAGGCGCCTAAGGACTCTAGTAGCAAGCCTGCTATGGACATCACCAGATGGCCCACCCAGAATCACTGGATGGCTTGACTGGTGCAGGGCTTTTCCTGCTGAACTCAGTCTATGAAGACTAGAAGAGGTGCCTACTTCCTCAAAGGCACAGACACCAACACAAGGCCATAAGGATCGTAAATAATCAAAGGAACATGACACCACTGAAGGAATCTAATACAACCCTGATGACTGACCGTAAAGGTGAGATCTACGAACTGTGTGACAAAGAATTCAGAATAATCCTCTTAAAGAAATTCAGTGAACTATAAGCAAACACAGATAGGCACCTAAATGAAATTAGGAAAACAATGTGTGAACAAAATGAGAAGTCCAATAAAGAAATACAAACCATCTGGGGAAAAACTAAAAACTGTAATCCTAGAAGAATACAATGACTGAACTGAAGAATTAGAGAATTCAACAGAAAACTTGGCCAAGCAGAAAAAAAATCTGTGTACTAGAAGAAAGGTCATTTGAAATCATCTAGTCAGAGAAGCAAAAGAAAAAAGAAATGAAAAAGAGTGAAAAAAGCCTACATGAATTAAGGGTTACATTTAAAGGAAACAATCTATGTATTATTGGAGTCCCAGGAAAAAAAAAAAGAAACAGGAAGCTTATGTAAAGAAATAATGTCTGAGAACCTCCCAAATCTGGGGAGAGATTTGTACATCCAAGTTTAGGAAGCTAATATTTCAACCCCAAAATACCTTCTCCAAGACACCAAGACTAGATGGTTTCACTAGTGAATTATGTCTTTTTTTTATTATGACAACATCATATTATTTTGATTACTGTAGCTTTGTAATAGGGTTTTGAATCAGAGAGTATGATGCTGGAGAGTTTTATTCCACTTTCTCAAGATTGCTTTGGCTATTTAGGGTCTTTTCTGATTCTATACGTATTTTAGAATTATTTGCTTTATACCTGTGAAAAATGCCATTGGAATTTTGATAGGGATTGCATTAAATCTGCAGGCTGCTTTAGGTAGTATGGACATTTTAACAATATTAATCCTTCCAATCCATGAGCATGGCATCTTCCCATTTATTTTGTATCTTCAACTTCTTTCATCAATGTCTTATAGTTTTCAGTGTACAAGCCTTTTACCTCTCTGGTTAAATTTATTCCTAGGCATTTTATTCTTCTTGAGGCAACTGTAAATGCGACTGTTGTTTAAGTTTCTCTTTCTGATAGTTTATTATTAATGCATAGAAATGCAATTGATTTTGTATCCTGCAACTTTACTGAATTTGTTAGTTCTAATAGTTTTTTGGTAAAGTCTTTAGGGTTTCCTATGTATAATATGTCATGTGCAAATAGAGACAGTTTTACCTCTTCCTTTCCAATTTGGATGCCTTTGATTTTTCTTGCCTAATTGCTCTGGCTAGGACTTCCAATATTATGTTGAATAAAAGTAGTAAGAATAGCTTCCTTGGGGGCGGGGGGTGGGAAGGGACAGACTGGGATTTCAAAATGTAGAATAGATAAACAAGATTATACTGTATAGCACAGAGAAATATATACAAGATCTTATGGTAGCTCACAGAGAAAAAAAATGTGACAATGAATATATGTATGTTCATGTATAACTGAAAAATCGTGCTCTACACTAGAATTTGACAGAACATTGTAAAATTATTATAAATCAATAAAAAATGTTAAAAAAATAGCTTCCTTGTCTTGTTCCTGATCTTAGACGAAAAGATTTTATCTTTTCATCATTAAGTACACTAGCTGTGAGCTTGTCATATATGGCCTTTGTTATGTTTAGGTACATTCCCTCTATTCCTACTTTGCTGAGTCTTTTAAATCGTAAATGGGTGCTGAATTTTGTCAAATGCTTCTTCTGCACTTATTAAGATGATCATATAAATTTTACCCTTCACTTTGTTAATGTGGTGTATTGCACTGACTGACTTGCAGATGTTGAACCATCTCTGCACCCTTAGAATAAATCCCACTTGATCATGGTATATGATCCTCTTAATGTATAGTTGAATTTGGTTTGCTAATAATTTTGAGGATTTCTGCATCTATATTCATCAAGTATATTGGCCTTTAATTTTTTTTCTTGTAGTGTCCTTGTCTGGTTTTGGTATGAAGGCAATGTTGGCCTCATAAAATGAGCCTGGAGAGTTTTCCCACCTTTGCATGCAGGATGCCTTACACCTGCTGATATGGAAGCAGTCCTCAAGGTCAAAGTCCAGTTCAGCCACCTCCAATTAAGCCATCTGGTCACCCCACCAGAAAGGACTTGCTTCTTTCTTGAACCCTTATAGACACTTTCTATTCTTCATATAGGAGCCACAGCACCCAAGAATTTGGAGTTAATGGATCTCATGGGCAGAAAATCAAGGAAACTCAGGCTTGGAAGGAGAATCACCCCTCTGATCCTCAAACATCTTTCAATCACTCATGCATCCCTGGTAAGTAGGGACTTGCTACCTTTCCAAACAACCCACTCCATCTTTGGACACTTGTTAGAACATTCTTCCAGAGACTGAAACAAAAACCCAACTAGTCTCAGTCTTCATTCAGGCCCTGGGAGCCTCACAAAAAGTTCAACTTCCTCATAATGCCCATGGCAGCCCCCTCAGACGTAACCCAGTCGCATGGAATTCCGGAGTCTGCCCTGCTCCTGATTGTGGTTTCCATTTGCTCACTGTTGACTGAGTAAATCCTAGGCTGAGCTCAGACTGGGTGCTGGGTTGAATGTTGGCTGTAAGAGTAACTGTATATGTGAGGAAGGGAGGGAGGATTGGGTACTAAAGAGCATGAAGTAGACACGGCACTGATCATGAACTTGGACGCAAGGTTTGATCCTGGCTCTGCCCCATCTGGACTTTGGTCAGGTCAATCCACCTCTTTGCTCCTAGGGTTCCAAGGGGAATAAGCTACTGGATCTCTAAGTTGCTCAGACATTATATAACAGCTATGTCACCACCTTCTAATTTCAGCAACCTCAAGCCTAGAATAGAAGCCTCACTTTTAAGAATGGGGTACAGTGGCATTATGGTAGGGCGGTGAGAAGCCAGATCAAGTGTCACAAGACCCCCTACCCTTTAACTTTCCTGAGGATGGGACCCTATCTTATTTATCCCAGCATCCCCCAGAATTCCAGCACTGTTCAGTCTGGGATGGTCAGTATTCAACAATGTCTGTCTGCTCATCATTCAGCTCACATTTACTGCAGACTGGCTCAGTGCGATGCTTTGCTAGGTGCTGGGGACAATGGACAGTCCCCGCGCAGAAAGAGATGTAAAGAAGTATACATATGAACATAATACAGTGTGGTAAGTCCTATCTAACAATTAGAAATGCTAACAATCAGATAGCACTTCACAGTTAGGAATCACTTTCACATACATTACATCATTCAGTCCTCCAAACTGCTCTGTCAGACAGGTAGCATCTTCCCTATTTCACATGAAGAAATGAGGTACAGGCCTGTTATTTAAATCCTAATCATCTCTCAAAGTCTAATCTCTCAGACTTTTTGGCCCCACCCTCAAGTCCAGGCAGCTCAATCGGTACCCTCTAACTAAAGCTGCCTGCCCCTGCCAACACTAAACTTCCTTGGAGCCTGTGCTTCCCTTAAGGAGTGATGGGTCATGATTCAGGGACAATATATTCTATGGACCTTTCCTGAGGGGGATAGAGGAGGCTCCTTGCTCAGTCCCCAGAAGGTAACCGGCCAATTCCGGGCACAGGGACGGCAGTAATGCTTCACCTACCTGGGGCATAGCTCAGCACCCTCACACTCGGATCCTCTGCAGCCAGGACCTGGAACAGCATGTCACGAGCAGCCTTCCCCGCACAGTACAGTGCCCAGCCCTTGAAGGGCTGCAGCGCACAGAGGGATGAGATGTTAACCACAGTCCTGCTGAGGCCAGGACTCTTTGGGAAGGCCTTCAGGATGCTGGAAGTCAGACAGAGCATGGAGGTCAGGTTCAGAGCCCAGTAGTTGTTCACTTCAGCTGAGTCAGCCAGGTCCACGAAGCCTTTGGACACATCCCCAAGAGTGGCTGAAAAACCAGACCTTAGGAATCACTCAATTTATTCCAGAAATCCCCTTCCCATCCAGACCTAGAGGAGTTTCCCTAGTGCTTCGGAAGACGCCTCCATCTTCCTAGCTCTGCAGATGGATACACCTGGGGGAACCCACACCTGAAGCTGCAGACTCGCTTTGCTCCGGGACAGGAGGCGGGGTACGGGGGAGGGGCGGGGGTGGTGGTGGTGGAGGGGAGCGGAACTCTGGGGGCCAATTGGAGAAATGGGGGAATTTAACTTCTATTGGGAACCCCCCTATCCTAACTCACGCCTCCGCCAGAGGGCGCCCAGCAAAATGATTAGGAAAGTTCTACAAGCGTTCTGAAAAACTTGGCGTTGAATCCGGAAGGGGAGAATGGGGGGGAGGTGGCGGAAAAAAGGGGAGGTGGGGGGCAAAAAGGGCAGGTGGGGGCAAGATAAGCTTCCGTGACAGCACCGCGTCTTCCTCGCACCTCGCATAAACTAGGTCTTTCGGGAGTCTTTTCTGACTCCTAGGAGACACCTTTAAAGTTCCAAGTGGTGGGGGAAGTGAGAGGGAGGGAGAACA